CACAAACACACACACACGTCTTACTCCATCCACTTCCTTAACTCAGAAATTCTTTATCTCAGGAAATAGGTAGATTTGATTCAGCCAATAATTTTAACAGTGACCCAAGAACTGAGCTAACGACTTCTGGATCTCCTGTGATTAGCGTTGATGAGGGAGAAATAATTCAGTGCTACCAGGGCTATAATTTCCCCCATTATAGAATCATTAACTTGACTACATACTTTCTTCGGGAAATGGTCTTCTGCTTCCCCCACAGTAAGAACTCAAGCTTGTATCTTACTTAAACTAATCAGAACCTTCACATCCTCCACATATTATACATCTTCTGGATGTACAACATATTTTTTTTTCCTTTTTCCTCTTTATATGAACCACTGACTTTATTATGATATTCTCAGTGGTGCTTTAGAATATTGTGTATTTTGAATGAAGGCATGCTTTATTAAATGAATAGCTTCAGGGATACATATTTTTTAAGTTTTCAGTTCTGATGTCTTAATTGCTTCTGGAAAGTGAATAATATTTTAAAACACAATATTTCCCAAATGAGAAGAATCTAACATTGAACAAATATTAATCAAAAAAAAATGACTCCAATGAAAGTATATGTGGAAATTTCAGTTTTTCTGTAAGTTTGAGAATATTAAAAATAAAAAAAGTTAAAAAAGACCACAAACATAAGAATTAAAAATCTACTTAAAATTAGTTTTTACTTTTTCTTCTCCTCTGGTAATCAGAACTGAAAGCAAAGCATCAAGGACACCTGCTGAGTAAATAAAAATAATATCCACTAACCTTCACCCTTGCACAGAACTTTACCTGAAATTCCTTACCTGGCAGGATTTTGGAGGTGTCAGGAAAGCCTTGTAGACCTGTGTCTGACTAGAGCACCTTCTCACAGCTTCTAGTAGTAGATCTTTGATTTTCCTTGTGAATCACCTGGATGCAGTTTACTCTCACGTGAGCAGTGTTTGAGAAACTGACATCTGACTCAACCCTGGCTAATGAGGCTTAATTCTGTTCTCAGCTGAACCTATTGGACAAAGAAGTACTCCTTGGTTATCTTCACTCAGTTTGAAAAACCTAAATCGAATTTAGTCAGTGTAGAGTGAAGTGAAATGAGAGATGGAAAATAATCAAGCCTGGATGATACAGTTTGAGACTCCAGATTCAGTTATTCCCAAAGCTGCTTCTTCTCTTTCCTTTCTTCTTTTTTCTTTTAGCTATTTTAATTTGAGTCTGTTTTCTATCACTTATGAACAGAGATGGTAGAAATTAACTTGGACCGACAGAGTAAAATCTGCCTGGCCTCCCTGACTGTAATAACGGGAATAAAGTCACTCTGCAAAGTCTGCCATCCACATTCTTTCTCCCAAGGACACACTGCAAGTGCTACAGTGTCATGATTCCCTCTTCATGAGTGACTATAGCGATTTAACATCCTATCAGCGAGATCGACACATTCCACTCTTGCATGCAGGCTCTAAGTCATTTTGACATGAGAAAACAGCCTTATTTCACAACCCAGGAGCAGAGCTTCAGATTAGGGAGTTTCTGCAGATAACATTGCACAGCTATCTTGATATTGGGCGACCAAAGGAATAATACCTTTGGTCTGATTTGCTAATCCACATACTTTACATGCTCTATTTTGCCGGCTATCTACCAGAATAGTGTTCTGTTGAGAATTCGCTTCATTTTCATCCTTCACAGAACTCTCTAAAAATGCCACGTCCCCTGGGTTTTGTGAAAAGACCCTTGTTTCATCTTCTATGTGGTCTCTCTCCTTGTGATGGGCCAATAAGCCTAATTTCATCAGATCACAAGTAGTAGTTACTGGTGGTTTTAGGTTGACTGGGATTGTGAAACAAAAGGGTTTTAATTATTGTAGCATTCTTTCCTATAATCATTCCTGCACTCGTTGTAGCTTTATAATTAAAGATCTGGTCATTTATTCTTCTCCCAAAGTAAATCTCATGGGAAAGTCAAAATGACATAAAACCTGCATGTAAGAGTGGAATGTGTCGATCTCGCTGATAGGATGTTAAATCGCTATAGTCACTCGTGAAGAGGGAATCATGACACTGTAGCACTTGCAGTGTGTCCTTGGGAGAAAGAATGTGGATGGCGGACTTTGCAAAGTGACTTTATTCCCGTTATTACAGTCAGGGAGGCCAGGCAGATTTTACTCTGTCGGTCCAAGTTAATTTCTACCATCTCTGTTCATAAGTGATAGAAAACACTCAAATTAATAATAGCTAAAAGAAAAGAGAAGAAAGGAAAGAGAAGAAAGTGGTACATGAAGTTGAAGATACTGCCTCATACTTTTTGTATTTTTTTAAAGATTTATTTATGCATACAAGAACTGGGGTACAGGCCAGAGGTGTGGGGGGTGAGAGGATTCACCAGAGACAGAGTGGGGAACAAAACAGGCAGACTGACTGAAATACACTGCTGAGGGAAGCAGCAGGCGAGACAGGAGAGGTCTGCTGCGCCATGTGGGTAGCTCCCTGGCAGGCCGGGGATAGAACTCATGCTGCAGAAGCTGTGGATAGCTTCACAGTGCTGTACTTAGCCCCTTGCGCCACCAGGGAGGCCCTGCCTCACACTTTTCAAACCCTCACCGTCACATATCAGTGCTCAGTGTGTGCTCTTGGTCCTTGTCAAGCATTTGTCCACCATTCAACTGGGTCACAACCAGTCATCGATTCATTGTTTCCAAACATGTTTTAATAACTGCCATGCTCTGGATATACAGAAATAGCTAAAATGTGCCCCTTACCTTCAATACTTAAAGATTCACAAAGCTGTAATCCAGTGGAAAAAAAGATTATTGGTTCTAAATTAATATTCTCTGCCATTTCCTCGTGCCAAAATAGGAAACAGTTTGCAAACACGTTATTTTTTTTTCCAAAGTGAAAGAGAACAATTTAATAATAGCTGAGTAGTTGTGTTGAGGCGAAAGGTCTTTACTTAATTATTTCTCAGTAAAACCCCAGGAACAAAATTACACTTTATTGTGAGAAGAAAAAAAAGTGTTAGGGGAGAATAAGCTTCTGCTAAGGAGTGCTTCCAGAACTATTGGCATCAAGCGTTCTTTACCCCTGCCCCCTGTTCCTTAAGGCACTCAATCTCACTTTTGAGAATTTATGTGGTTTTAAAGTGGTTCACCTTTGCCTAATGGTCCAGATGGTTCCAGGAATATTTCTATCCACAGTACTTAAGGATGAAAATGGTAAAAGGTATCTAGTTTCATTTAGCTTCACTTCTTACCCCTTAATTCCTGTAAGGCCATTATTATGGCTCATGACCAAGGGTGTATAATGACCATACATTGAGAGCCAAGGTGAAAATCTTCCATAATTCCACAGTATTAATTTCCACTTACCCAGAAATTATTTCCTCCTATTCCAGATGATTTTTTACCCCTTTGATATAAGAAGCATCACTGCTTTTGGCTTGTGTGGGGAAATATTCTTTACCTTTGTAGGATCTGTTTTACTCATGAACTCAGCCTGTTGAGAAACAAGCAGTTTTATCTGAGGTAGTGGAAGGGAGGGAAGGAAGGAAAAAGGAGTAGAGACTCTGCTTTTACCGTTTTTGAGAGAGAGAGAGAATGTGGCCACCTAGCTTGTCCACGGTGTCCTGCCCACAGTGACAGGGAGAGAAGGGAATCTACTCTTCATCACATGTGGCCCTAGCCAACCAATTTCTGATTACCCCGATTATAAATATTGTCCTTTTACTCTCAGACTTGTAGGAATAACTATGTTCAGTTTTATTAGTTTGGGATATTACTTTGAAAGAGTTATTGAGAATGAATTTTTGTTACTTTATCTATTTAGAGGGTGAAATAGTACCACCTGCTAGTGAAACACTACAAAGACTTACTTCAGCTACTTCCTCAAAGAATATGTATAAAGTGCTTAGCAGGACGACAGCTTTATTGTAGGCATTTGGCAAATGTTCTCTGAATAATTGCAAAAATGATTAATGAGGGCCTCCCCGGTGGCGCAGGGTTTGAGCGCTGGGTTGCGAAGCTGCCCGCAGCCTCTGCAGCGCCGGTTCGATCCCCGGCTGCTCCCCGGCCACCGGAGGAGGGTCCCACATGGCGCGCAGACCTCTCCTGCCGCCCGCTGCTCCCCTCAGCAGTGTACTTCGGTCCTTCTGCCTGCTCTGCTCCCTGCTCTGGCTCTGGGTGAATTCTTTCACCCTCCCGCACTTCTGACTGTACCCAGTGTTTGTATAAATAAATAAAAATAAATCTTTAAAAAAAATGATTAATGACTCTGATGAAGTTATAACAATGCCATGCTAAAGACAAATATATGATTACATGGAGTATTATTTGCAAATATATACTATTTCTTAAATACAGAAATCATTCCAGATTTAAGGACAGAAATCCTCTAGTGTCATGAACTTCCTAGTATGTATTAATAAGCAGATCCTTGCAGGATTTATGTCCAAGTTCAACCCCAAATATAAACTTGGGCCACATTTTTTTTCCATGAATTGTCTTTATAATACTATTACAATGCTGAAATGTAGTTTTAAGGCTGATTCAAATCCCAGCACATAAGGTTTAATGGTGAAATGCAAAGGCAGTTTCATTTCTAAAATTTTGTTTTATGCATATGATATAGTGGAGATTCAGTAAAAGTAGATTTCCTTCACCTTAAGCTTTTAACCTTGAGAAGGTGTTTATATAAATACAATATTGCTCTATTGATATTGGCCTTCTTTGTGGTGATAACAAATGCTAAGAGTATAAGACTTTGGAGAAAACTATGATGTAAGGGAAGCATTCATGCATCGCCTTATTTGGTGGAGAATATATTCTTTCACAGAGGATACCCTAACTCGATGATTCACATTTTTAAAAAAGAATTGTATTTTCTGATGTTCTGAGTCACGTCCTATTTAAGAACCCACTTTTGGTCTTATAATGAAGCTCTGATGAATTTGAAATTAAAAAATAATAAAGATAACTTGTACCAAGACTTTATTAGGCATTTCACTGAATACAAAGAAACTTTGTTACATTAAGAACACAATCTTATCAAAAAAATTCACATATACTAAACAGAACCATAGTCATATATTTTGTTTACATCACATTTATTAACATATCAATGACCAGATCCTAAAAAGAGAAGGCACAGATCTGTCTCCCTCTGGTGAATTTCTGGTGTTTAATGAAGGAAATGTCACCAGTTCTGCAAATTTTCATCTTTGGAAATGAAGCAAATCAACACAAATATGTGAATATGGGGCCACGAAATGAAAATGTTATATTAAGGGATTTGGATTTTCTTAACACAGGAATTTCAAGAGAAGATGTAGGTGCCAAAAATGTCCCCAAACTCCATCCACAGTCAGCCTGTGTCAAAGATTCACTGTTGGAGGTGACAGTATTTGAAGACTTTATTTTAGGCATTCCACCATAGCTCTGTCTTCTGCAAACTGTTCTAGAAACTGGCCTTACAGGAGCTCATTGTTCTTACTCTGGGTTGTCTTAGACTTTCAGTTTCTCCCAAAAAATGCTGGTTATAATAACTGGTTTTGGCAAGTCTGTCAGGTCCTTGCTTCATTGTCAGGGTCCACATTCTACCCCTGTCTCTCCCAGTCCCACTCATTCCCAGAGGAGACACACAGACCTGTGACTTAACAATGCTTTCTCCTTTTTCTGTCAAACAAGAGTGACTTTCTACGTCAGCTTTTCTGCAATTCCACAGATGACCAATGTAACCAAAAATAATTTGTGGTCAGCTGTGAATAAGGGGAATAGAATCTTATTTTGTTACTTCTCAAAGAGAAAAGAAATTGAATTTTCTTAGAAGGTGCTACCACTCTCCAGGGGCATTTTTAATGTATGAGCATATCTTGTTCCAATTAGTGGGAAATGTTACTCAAATGATTACTAGAGGTTACTCTGCACCTTGAATGTGAATTTAATTTACTTGTAGGCTAATGAAGTTCATAAATTGATTGGCATTGAAAACTTTTGAAAAGCATAGGATGCTCCACAAACTGGATTGCTCATGGAAACCCTGGGAAATTGTGAAGCACATTTTTTCTTCTAAGGGATTAGTGTGGGGGGCAGTATACTCTGGAACCTCACAACAGGCAGTGGAGAGAAATTTGAATGTGGTGGCATTAAGTTATTTCCTTGATTATTCCATCTATATTTGAATTGGTCCTTCATAAAGTACTTGTAGATTTGTCATGGACCAATATTTTACTCATGAAAGGAGGAAGGATCTCGCCCTTTGTTGGTAAGTCACCTAAACAAACGAGAGGCATGATATACAGGGGGAAAAAAAACACAATCAGTGAAATTTGAATTTCAGATAAACAATGAGAAATTTTTAGTATTACAGTGCCCTATGAAATATTTGGGAGATACACTAAAAATTTATTATTTATCTGAAATTCATATTTCACTGGATATCCTGTTTTATCTGGTAACCCTAAATTTGGAAAATAAATAATTAAAGATAGAGAGGTAATAAGATCAATTAAGATTTCATCCCCAGATCCCAAACCCTTATAAGATTAAAAAGTTTTTGCTTTGAGCATGTCAATCCTATGCAGATCCTTCATTTAGTCATGACTTTTCTATATTTGAATTGAATGTAGGCAAAGGGGTAAAAGAGTTTCTATAGGCTTGTTTTTTGAGATGAGTACCTTGTTGGAACCATCTAATGTTGATGGGGCTTTAGTGACTCTCCCAGCATTAGAGAAGTTCATTTTAACTGAGAAGATCCAACAAAATTTCATGGGAAACCTTTCCTTACAAGCAAGATGAGTTGCATGTTTGGAGGACAGCTTTAGTGGCACATCAACCATGTGGATGTTGGAAAGCAATGTGAATTTAGGAATTTTTTTTGGTATGAAAATGAAGTTCATTAATTCATTGGCATTGGAAACCTTTGAAAAGCACAGGATGCTCCACAAGCAGGACTCGTGCTAATGGTAATAGTTGTAAAGCACATTCCTCATCTGATTTTCAAAAGATCATGTTTAACAGAAACTTAATTTCTCTTGAAATTTGAATCTTAAGTTGCAACAACAAAAAAATGGCAATGTATTAAGACTGGTCATTATGTGCCCTTTTTTAGGATAAGTTTGATTTTCGTAAGATACAATATACTTACACACACACACACCACATAGGCACATACTTCTGACTCATAGAAATATACATTTAGAACAAATACCTACAAAATAGTATCACAAATGAAATCAAAGTTACACAATTTCAACAGACAGTCAACACATTTTTACAAATTCTACAGAACATTTTATCATTGTCATTAGGAAAATGAACAACTAAGAGCATTATTTAAATGACTATGTAACACAGGGGCCACCAATAAGTTATGGCAAATACAGCATTTACACCATTGTGTCACTGAAATCTAGTTGAAAAGACTAAAGTGCTATAAAATAAAATACTTTTAAAAACCTTGTTTAGCATATCCTGAGGGACACTGCATGATTTTCTATTAACAATTCAAAATGCGAGCACTCTACCTGTGGGGCTCTCATTTCAATGAGCGACCAAAGGTTAGAAGATTTTGTGTCATTGGATCGCTAAAGCAGTAGCACTGAAAAATTCACGAAAACATGCATTTCCTGAGACTTCCAATTTTCCAGACTGGAATCCTAACAGGGGAGAACCTGAACAGGTAACCTTGGCTAAAAGATATCAGAACCTCAAATAACTTAAAGCAACTTTAAATGAAGATGCGTATTTGCTTGTAATTTTTCTTCAAGCCCAATTTTGCTTCTCCAGTTTGAAGTGTCATCGACAATGTGGTTGGACTCTTACTGTTAGGCATTTCTTATTTATAAGGATCTCATTTTTCATTGGGTTTCCAGTGATTTTTTTCTCTTAAATATTTAATTATTTGAATTATGCTTATGCCTACTAGTGCTGGAGATACTGTTTATGAGTTAAATAAGATCAGATTGATAATTAGAGTGCAGTTAGCATGTGAACAATGTATGTGTGAGAGATGTGCATGCCAAGTGTGTGTGTGTGTGTGTGTGTTTGCAAGTGTGTTCATACACAGGCATGAAATGCCAAACACTTCATGCTCTAATACATTCACTGTTAGGTGGCACTCCATGAAAAGTGAATTTTCCCAATATGGCTAAAAGTGAAGATTGAGGTCATCATATAAAATATCCTAAGGCTTTGAAAAGATGCTTCCTCATTCTGTGCGTTCACATGACTGTATAGTGATCAGGTAGACAGAAATAATAATGGCAGGAGGATTCATCACTGTGGTTCTTCAGAACGACAAACAAGAGAGCAAGCCAAAAAATGGTACTCTGGGCATAATTTCCTCATCTCACCTACTCTTCAGATTTCCTGCTGTAGATTGGGTGAAAACTGGATCTTATCTCTGTTTGTTTGTTTGCCTGGCAGGACTTGTGACATCGAGTTGGAAAGAACAAGAAAGAAAAATGTGTTCCAAGATGTAACTCCTACTATCTTGGGACTTATATGTAGCCCTTGTGCTGTGAGCTATCTGGAAAGACAATGCTCAGCTGAGATGGAGGGTAAATTCTGACTGCCTATCACTCATCCTCACCCCCACCTCTTTATTTAAGCCCCAGCCTGCTCCCTGAGGGTGCTCCAGTGCAGGGCCAATGGACAGAAGTCAACCAAAGGCACCTTCTCCCCATTGCCCTTTTGAAAGAATCATTCCTTGTGAGCTCTTCTTTTAGCTGGAGGGGCATGGCTCACTCTACTTGTTTGCTCTTTAGAAATTAAGGCAAGTCCATTTACCCTCAGAGTCTGCTACATAGGCATCATATGTATACAGGGAACCATATCATTGACTTGAAATACCTTTTGTCAAACAACTTTTCTGTGTGCGTAATATTAATAATAATTAAAGCTCTCTCTGGTAAGAATCTGCATGATTAGGCTAATGCTTCAGTGTTTGTTTTTTCCAGCACCCAAATGACAAAGCTAATCTAAGCAAACATTACAAGAAAGCATCTAAGTTAAAAAAAATACAACATAGTTACCATTGTATCTTATTCATTCTTCATCAACATGTTGAAAGATCTGTTTTCTGCTATATTTATAAGTTAAATCTTTGCATCATGGCAAGTGTGCTTGGCTAAACATGCTCCTGAGGCATGAACAATGAATAGTCAGAGAGAAAATCTGCCCCAAAAGCAAGTTTACAGGACATGAATGTCGATACTACAGTCTTTTAAAAATGATTCATATTCAATTGCAGGTGAAAGAGAAAAACAATAAAACTGCCAGGGAAGGGAAAGTGGAACAAAAACTATATATATGTAAATAATTAAGTCCCAAGCTAGACTATTTTTACAAAAATATTTGCATATGATCAGATACTCTACTTTCAGAGGTCTTATCACTCATTTTATGCAGTTTTAAGAGTTAGTCTGAAGATTAAATTATTTAATATTATCATTGTTTTCTTGCAAAAAGAAGAGTTGTGATTTTGTCCATGTCTGTATTTTTGTTATGTGTATTTGTCTGCCTGCACAGAAGTGGGTATATATTGCGTTAGGCAAGACATAGACACACAACTGGAAAGAACATATCTTCCATGTGTAAAATGCATGCTACTTGTTGTTCTACACACACACCAACACACTTCTCATAAACATTCTCTTCAGTATAAACAATTTCTATTCCCTTGTGCAGTTGTTAATAAATACTATTTTCTGATAATGAGTATTTATAATCTTTTAATCAACTCTTTATTATCTACAGCCTTCACCTACATATTCTTGAAATCAACTCCCCCTTTTCTAGGTCTAAGAGATTAAACCAAATATCCTACATTTAAAGGAATTAAAAGCAGAGGGCATGCTTCTGTTTCGCTGTGGCCCCACTTTGTATGGACCATATTTTCCCAGGAAACTACTGAGACATGATTATCTCTAAACATGAAGACGAATAATTCATGATTGTAATAATTTCAGCATATTTGTGAAATGCCTCACAATGGCTATGAGAAACACAGGTAAAGGTTATTGTGCTCTTCCAAGATTATTTTAGAGTTGTCACATTTCACAAAGATGCCAAGAAGGAAGCAATGCTCAAAGCTGCATTATCATTTTTCTTCCCCATAGAATTGGACTATCAAATGTTGGCCTGCAGACACTCTCTGTGATACGTTTGCAGCTGTCTCATTCTGGACCCTGGGGAGAAGGGAGCTCTAAAGTGGTGAGGCAGTGTCGATTTTCATAAGTCTGCGCAGGTCATAGCTATTTAGCAATCTCCTAGAGACAGTTTGTGGATCTTTGAGATTTCATGGGCACAGTTTCAAAAACATTGCTGTAATGCTTTCTACCACCCTTCTTCAACTTCACATAGAAAACTCAAATCAAAGTTTCTTGAAATATCTTCCTCAAATTCTTGGACCTAAGATGGCATATTTGGATTCCGATTGGTTAGAAAAACATATACACTAATTCATTTCTTTTTTTTCTTCTTAAAAAAAAAAAAGCAAATCAAGAAAATCATTCAGAGAGAATTGAATTGTAAAAGTTCTTTTCAGAGTTTTCTGATTTTAACACACTTGTCACAACTGTTATTTATTGGACATTTGCAGGGCAATTCTATTTAAGTTATCCCTTAATTAAAATGGCATTCATGTCCCCTCCCCCTATTTTTCACTATGGAGTTGGCACAAATAGTTTTTCCAAAATTTTTTTAACTCTATACATATAGCTGCCTGAAATAGAAATACTGTGAAACACTATTATTTCACACACAAAAAATCACTGATTATGGTCTCCAATATTACTGATGCAGGGAAACTGATTGGATGCATATTTTCCATGATCAAAAGTTAGTGATGATTGTCCAATTGCAGATGACTACAGAATATTTACCAAGTCCCACAAAACAAATTCAGTACAACAATGTAATACATGTTATGTTGGGCATTCAATTGCTTGGAGTCTCACACAGCAGCTGACTAAAAAGAGTGCACTAGAGGGAGCAGAAAGATTCAGCGAGAGAATACAGACAGTGTAGGTGCCTTAGGCTGAAACCAGAAACGCAATCAAGTAAACACTCATAAGTATTACGATACAAAGACTAATTTTGAAAAGCAAAATTCACTGGTCTTTTTATCCCTAACACTAAATTTTGCTCATCAAATGAGAAATGAAATATTTATAGTAATGCAGAATATGATTATAATCACTGAAGAAATGGCTTCCCCCTTTTCCCACCCACTACCAGCCCTAATCCCTTCAGAAACTCAGTGGAATAGGAAGATCAGAGTGGTTATAGATAAAATGCCTAACACGATGAGTCTTCTCTGTCTTATGCGTGGACACTCCAAATGGCACTATCAAGTGTTGGCTTCTCCTTCATCAAAGACATAGTTGAGCTTTATGACAGTGCTGATGAAATCACCAAGTTCTACAAAATCAGCAGTGACAATATTGATGCCGCTCTCTCCTGGTTTCTGCGTGCGGACCCACTGCATCATGGCTGGCAGCGCTCTGAGAAAAAAAGAAATAGAGATGTCACAGAAGGCTAGACGTTATTTTTCAAGCTTACAGTTCCCAGCTTCTCTTTAGTTTTCTTACTTAATAAATAAATGCCCCAATTATAGGCCCAAAATGGAGAAAAAAAATGTCAAATGGACAATGCTAACTTCTTAACCTTTGAAGAGATTCTGCAGGAAAATGTTCACTATATTGGTCTACACTAGACTCTATCTTTGAAAAATCTCAGTGCTGTGAGAGTTTATAGCGAAGTTTGTCTACTAAGAAGACCCATATTCTGATTTGGTATGGTGTGGCTATGGAGAGGTAAGGTCAGAGATAAATACATGCACCTAGCAAACACTTACTATCAACCCACTACCTTCTAGACATTTTTCAATAGCGCCAGATACTGTAAATAGACATAACAGCCAAATGCTTTGCATTCAGAGTTTGTGATCTGGTGGTGGGCAGGTGCACAAGGAAGAAAAGTTTATGATCAGGGCTCATTCCTTTAGAAATATTTACCAAAAGTCTATTATGTTGCAGTTACCAATGTTGGAACAAACCAGATCAAAACATCTACCTGTATGAGGCTTACATTCTTATAAGCAGAGATAGATGATAAATTATCACCATAAGTGAACTGTGTCATTTAGTAGTAGGGAATGCAAGCTATAAAAATGAAGCAAATAAGGTGACTAGGGGAAAGTGAAAAAAAAAAATAGGATCAGCAGCATTTTAGAGATGGGTTGAGAAGTTGATTCAGTAAAATGTAAAGAAAAGTATCATGTAAGTAGAGAAAAGCACATAGTGCCATGAAAATCAAGGCAACAAAGAAGCCATGCTCCTTTCAGTTCATGCATTAAAGCATAGAAGATAATACATGTGCATGTTTCAAGATCTCAGAAAATATAGCTTATCTAAACAAACTCAACCCACCCAGATAAAATAAGGTTAGCTACCTTGGACTATGTTAGTCCTGTGGGCAATATCTTAAAAATTCCAATTCAGAATTTTTAACATATACCTTTTTTTAAAAGGTATGTCTTTTTTAAAAAGGTTTGTCTTCTTAAAGAGCATAATATGAATCAATAAAGTTCGAATGCCTGTAAAAAGTAGACTTGCAGGTGGAGAAATTTGGTCCTTGCAGAAGAAAATTCTAACTTAAAATAAAAAAAAAAATCTGGATCACTGGAACAAGACACCAGTGTATTCAAGTTCATTAGAAAGGCAGATGCTGGGGAAATATGTGTGTGCAGCCACTCATGTTTAAATTGCATTACTTCTGGACTTAACAGAACAGATGATATATCTCTGCTGTGAATGTAGCATGAGCTTGATATTTTAGAAAAGGTAGATACTCTGGAAACCGTATCAGAACCAGTACATTTCCTGCAAAGAATGGCTGTTAGGCAGAGATGATCACCTTTAAATTAGGTAAGAGGTATAGTGGATAAGAGTGATGGAGTCAGTGCCAATTTTGTGTTAGCCTGAGTTACTGGCTCATCAACCCCCTGGAGTAGTAAGTCATGGGAGGTGCCTGAACAACCAATTTCTCATCTTAGAACCACGATCATCACAGAAATAGCTCCTCAGATGCCATCTAGTACACTAAGATTAAAATTCCTGGGCCAGAACTTAAAACAACTAATTGTTATCCCCATGGAGAGATGTTCAAAGAACATAAGCGCTCTACTCTGTTTCTCTACAAAAGACATTGCTTTGAGGATTGATGAAACATCCTTTTGGAACAGCTTGTAGTCCACAGTTGAAATATGAAATTTATATTTAAAATACCATTTCTGAGTCATGGAAATATTTCTATTTTCTGTTCAGATATTCTTTCCTAAAGTCAATATGATACCAAAGATAAAACCAGAATTAATGCCAAGCTGAATTTCAAACAGCCAGTCTTAAGTAGAGTTGTGTTAAATAAAAAGGCTCAACAGAGTGCATTAAAATAGCAGAAGCAACTGAAGTTACAACAATAATTTAAAGTAGTATTTCTTAACTTTTTTTCATTAGTTTCTCCCTACGGAGCCTTTTAAAATATTTTTTTCCTGTTCATCCTCCATCTCCATGAAATTTTAATACCACTGATAGACTGAATATCTGTTTATATAATCTTTATCTATTTGTGCTTGATAAGTATATACATATATGTATATACACACACATACATATATATGAGAAGAGTAAATTTTTATTTGCAGCCTCACCTTAACAGCCAACTTTTGTTCCCTGAGGGCAATATTGACATTTTGAATACATGATTTATAGTTAATTGGCAAGTTCCAATTACACTTAAGTGTTAGACTGAAAATTAGAGTGCAATGAAAAACAGTCTTCTCTCATCTACACAGTCTACCAAGCTCTTACCAGTATGTCTGAGTTCCTCCATATCCCTCTCATATCACTTACCACACGCATCCCTCCTCACTTTTACTTGCTATTCTACTCCTAATTTGTTCTCCAGTAATGCTGAAATAATTGTATTTCTACCTTAACACACCTGTGGTTTCACCTTTGCTTAGAACTTTGCTTCATATGTCATACCATCCCCTTTCCATAGCTTTCTTGGTCTGACTAGTTTCTGCTAACCCTTTATGATTTTCTCCATGCATTATCTTAATCACTCCCATCTAAATCTGGATTAAAGAATCCCTTTTTATGCTTTATAATCCTTTAACATAGTTCTGTGATTGTACATTGTATACAGGATTGAGATTATTCATTTCCATCACACTTTTCAAAAAACAAAATCATATAAGCATCATCAATATGTTCCTTCCATCTACTAAAGTCCTTGGAACCCAAAGGGAAAGCAACACATTGTTAAACTCAAATGTTGAGCTAGAAATCTTGGTTGCAGAAGCCTCAAAACCTAACTAGCAAAATGGAAATGAACCAGTCTACCTAATTCAATACTGTACAAACGAGTGGGCATAGGATACTATGGAGGTATAGTAGATGAAACAATTTATTTCACTTGGGAGGAATTAGGGAGGAACATATCACAAAACAGGTGATATTTGAGCTTGGTCATGACTAGATGTTCTTTAGATAAGAAGAAGAAAGGAATTTCAAGAAAAGGGAGCAGAATATACAAAAGCATGTGGGCTCTAGAGGAAAGCTCCAGAACTTTTTTATCTTGTATAACTGAAACTTTGTACACTTTAACCACCACCTCCCATTTCTTCCTCTTCTTTTTGGACCCTGGCAATCACCATTATTCACTCTACTATTATGAGTTTGACTGTTTTCAATTTCACATAAAAGTAAGATCACACAATATTTATCTTCCTGTTTCTGATTTATTTTACTTAGCATAATGGCTCCCTAACAATACTATAATTCTAGACTAGAATTTAAGTGGGTAGATCCCATGTTAACTATTCTTGACACTTACAATGATGACAATAATGATAACAACAACACTAATAATAATAATGAAGGGGGTGGGAGAAAACTTTGGGAAGTGATGAATAATGTGTATAATCTTGATGGTGCTGATAATTCCATGGGTATATACTTATCACCCAACTCATCAGGTGTATATGTTGAATACATAGAGCTTTTCATATGTCAACCATAACTCATTAAGGTGGCTTAATAAAAAAGCATATGGGGCATAAAAGGTATTATGTAATTAGGAAGGAGAGGTGACCAGAGAGTAGAGGTCATGGAAGCATAGGGACAATTGGGTGAGTGACAGGAGTAGGGGAGGAACAAGAGGTGTTAGCCAGATTGTTGAGGGTCTTCTTTGAGAGTCTGTAAACAGACCGTGGACTGAGTTTCATTCCATAAATATATTTAAAGATTTGTCATTGATTTTATTCAATTAAAGAAGAGTTCTTTGATTGTCCGATGTAAAGATGAATCTAATATTAATCCTATACAAAGTTTACCATGTAATGACACTGAAACTTGTATTCTTTTCACATATAAATAAAGATCTCAATGTCTTCTTTGAAATTCTGAGAAGAAAAGGAACTCTTCACACTGTAGTTAGGTACATAGGCTGTCTAGCCAGCCCCTATGGGAAATAGTAGGGAGACTTACAGATATTAAAAAGAGCTAACATATGATTAAGCAATTCTACTCCTATGCATCTACACAAAGAATGAAAAAAAAACCCCACTAATTTGAAAGAACATAGGCACTCTTTATAGACAACACTATTTACTATAGCCAAGTTATGTAAACAACCTAAGTGCCCAAAGACAAATGAGTGCATTCAGATGTAGTATATAAATGGAATACTACTTAGCTATAAAAATGGATGCTATCTTACCAACTGCAACAACACGGATGGAACTGCAGGGCATTCATTGTGCTAAGTGAAATAAATCAGAAAGAAAAAGACATATACTGGATGGTGTCACTTACATATGAAATATAGAAAAACTAAACAAAAAGTCAAATAGCCAAATCAATAATCAACCCTACAAATCTGACTATAGAATTAATGCTACCCAAGGGGGAATGAGAGGAAGGAAAACAAAGTGAGGAGGGAACCCAATGGACTATGGTAGAGGGTTATATTATGGGTGCACTGGTAGTAGATATTTGTGGTAACATAGATCTGAGGGGGTATGACCCCATACCTCTAATTATATTCAGTGTTGTAAATGAGCATTACCTCAATAAAAATAGTAATACAATTTTTAAAAGTTCTTGGATTGCTGTGAGATCCTAAAAAACTTTCTTTCATCTATGTTAGTTCCACATTTGTAGCAAAAAAATTGCTAGTGTATTTTGAGTAGCATTCACTAATATTATGAAGAAAATTATTTCTAGGCAAAGGCATGCAATCCAAAGAGATTACTAAATTCCCTTTGAATTTATGTATTAATATTTTAGTATCTATTAGGTAATGGTCTCCTTTGGTAAGGAAAGATAAGATTATACAAATACTACAATGTTGTATTATAAATATACCCCTGCTTTCTTAACCTCTCTTTTTCATTAGTGCTAAAGTTATGATGTGGATTTAGACTATTTATTTGCAA